GTGATTACTCACCTTGCCTTCATTGTTACTTTTCGAGTCAGTTAGCAGGGGTGATTTTTCATTTTCACTTTATCGCCATACTGTAAATTATTTTGATGCGGTTATGCCTCATGTGATCAAGTACCCTAGATGAAATCCTCGCTGACCTTAGTCTGCATTTGACCGAACTTAACTGAAAGTCTAGCTGAAGTTAACTGGTCTTAGCTGCAAGAGACTGAAAATAGATAGATTTTTTCGAAATTTAACTGGCTTTTTCCGATTTTACTTTAAACCTTGCTGATCTAGTATCAGCTAATCACGTCTACCTGGAGGCGAACTGAATTTAGCTGATGATATCGACTGAGGTTGTATGCGTTTTGGATGCATTTCAGATAGATTACCTGAATCGGACTGAAAGTCAACTGAATATGATATGAGGCTGGGTGGCATCTCGCCATGCTGTCTCCAGTTCCTTTCAGTTATCTTCAGCCATACCGGATTCCGACTGAGTTAGACTGATGTTTGAGTGAGTTTCACTGAGTTTGCCGGCGTTACGGAAGCTCTTTAACTGAATCGAGCAAAGTTTAACACGGGGCGAGATGCAGCTTAGTAAGGTGTATCGCGGCTGAACTTGCCCCAAAGAAAGGTGAACTTGTCTCCAAAAAAGCAGCCCCTTCCTCTCACCGTGATGTAATGTTAATAAATGTACTGTTATACGCCCTTGAGTAGGCGATGCCAGTGATGACGCCTGCAAGGCGGTGGGTAGGCCAGCCCGCCAAGCAGCTGTGTCGAGTTGGCGGGCTACCCTGAGCGTTCTCAGGGGCTCAGTCAAGAAAAAATGTGGTGGCTTACTTTCTTGGGTGCATTTTCAAGGCCTGTGGGTCAATAGGCAAACCGAACGCACACTTACATGCATGCAATAGTGCGAATTGGAAGAAAGGTCAAGTGGAATCCAGCTACCTGAGAAGATCTGTTTTGTGTACCCTAAAAGGCTTTGTAAAAACAACTCACTCTTTTGCAATAAATAATGAAAACCTAAACTTGTCTCCTATTGTTTAATTGGTTGATCCAGAAAGAAATGACATGACATAAAATAATTAGCCACAGACAGATTGAAAAAGCCTGCAGTTTTAATTGCATACTTGCAAGTGAGTATGATATAAAACAATTAAAAGCGGAATTTGTTTAAAAAATAGAACATCAAAAAGAATACACTCACATGATTACAGGTAAACTAAAAATGCTTCTCCATGTGAAAATGAAAAATCAAAGTATAATCTAGACAACCAAAATAAGGTCTTGACATTTCAGTAGTCGGATTCTTGGCTGGCAGTGTCACTCTGAAAGAGAACAAAATCATGAAAACAAGCCTTACCAGAGTGCAATTCAAAAATTTAGTTTTACTTACATTGTTCACATTAAAATTTTCTGGTAAATATTTAGATTTGGGCCTCTTCTGACCAACGTCTGGATGAAACACTTCAGCAGACTCATATCCACTTCCAGACGGATACTCGTCATTATATGATCCCATCTCAGATTCACTAGAATAATCTTTTGAAGACTCACTCACTTTAGATAAATTCTGCTTCTCTTTAGACCTGTCTCCACCACTTTTTGATTCTCTTCTAAAATTAGTATAATTCTCATTCTTTTTTCTGCTTCTCATTTCATCTTCCTGAGGGTTTCTGGATCTCTTCTCAACTGACCCGCTCCTCTTCCTGCTTGAGAATCCTGCTTCTGTTCTGTGAGACTCATTATCATAGTGGTTTCTGGACTTACTCTCTTTAGCCTTGTCGCGTATCGTACTCCTCTCACCTGCTCTTACATTATCCAGCTTTGAGTCCTGATGGGTTTTAACCCTTATTCTCTCTTCTGTCCCATTTCCCTTGTATTTCCTTTTCCTATCTTCTAACCCATCATCCTTGTGTTGTCTTTTCCTGTCTCCTAATTCACTCTCCTTGTGTTTTCTTTTTCTCTCTTCATTATCGTCTTCCGTGTGTTTTCTTTTCCTGTCTTCAGAATTTCCTTCGACTAGCTTATTCTCAGAGCGTTTTCTTTGCCTGTCTTCAGAATTTCCTTCGACTAGCTTATTCTCAGAGCGTT